CGGGGGGGAGAGGAGGAGGCCAGGAACACGGTAGCCGAGCCAGGGGCCAGCCTGCCGGGCGCAGAGGAGGATATCCACCAGCAGAGGGCAGAGTCAAGCATAGCCAGGGGGATTGCGGCCAGCAGCACCAAGTCATCTTGAGCCTGGGATAAAAACAAGAGAAAGAGAGAGAGAGAAGGAGAAAAAGGCCTTGAAGATAGCAGCAGGCAGGCAGGCAGGAGGAGGAGGAGGAGGAGGAAGGCTCAGCATTGTAGGCAAAAGCAGCTGGGTTCATCTCCCTTAGGGTGAGTGGAAATTGCTTCCAGGCGAAAGAAGGGATTCCTGTTTTCTTCACAGCCTTCCAGGATGTCAACATGCTGCATAGCAACACACACACACACACACACACAAACACACGNGAGAGAGAGAGAGAGAGAGAGAGAGAGAGAGAGAGAGAGAGAGAGAGAGAACACCCTGCAGGTTCCTGATAAAGGATATCCACCAGACGATACAGGAATCCACAAAAGCCAGAACAATTTCACAGACGAGGGTGGCTACGTTTGTTTGCTCCTGGGGTAGGGACAATGAGATGCTGAGACAGGAAACACCTGGTCTGACCCTCTGGATGTACTTAGACACCTGCCCCCACCTCCCCCACCTGCCACCTCTTACCGATTTCACTCGCAGGATCCCCTCAATGATGGAGAAGACCAGGTACATCAAGCCGACACCCACCACGCGGTTCAAGAGGGCCCCCAGTCTCGGCCTGCAGGGAAAAGCGCAAGCAAGTCAAGGGCAGCCTCTGTGATGGGACCCAGGCCGTGTCTCCTGATGCAAACATTGCCCAGAGCCCTTGGCAGGCACAAGAGGCCAAGGAGGAAGCAAAACATGTACATGTGCACACTCACACGCATGAACACACACACACACACGTGTGAACTGGAGAGCAGGAATATCTGGCAGCTGCCTCAGCCCTCCGTCAAGGGAACCCTCTAAGACTGGGGGTAGGTGGGGGAGTACAAACCACAGCCCACATACAGGTCACCAGGGTCTCCTTCCCACCCCTTCCCCAACGGGTGTGCTGAAAAAATGGCGAACTGCACTTCTCAGAAATGTCCACGGGGCACCATTTCCCCAACAGAATCTTCCTCGAAGGCGTTTTTTCAGTCTAGCCACCTGGAAGCTCAGGAACGGTGGCTTCCCCACACAGAGGGGTCTGTGGGGCTGGGGTGGGGGGCAAGGGGAGGTGGGGAAACTGTCCTGGATGCTGAGAAATGGACATCCTGCCAGGTTTTCCTGCCACTCAGCCAAGGTTCCCCCCTCCGCCGGGCCCCAAGCCCAGGGCCTTCGCGGGCCGAGACACTCACTTGACGATGCCGTATCCCAAACTGGCGATGATGACCAACACGCGAGCCAACATTCGCTTCACTGCGCAGAGGACCTCGGCAAAGATGACTGCTCCCTGAACTGGAACATGAGGAGGAGGAGAAGGGAAAAAAGGTGGCAGAAACTGGGAGACTACCCCCCCACTGTTCCGATTTTGTTTTGAAGGCTTCTAGATTGGGGTGGGGCTGTGCAAAGCTGCCTCGCCTGGAAGCTTCCAGGAACAGGAAACGAGGGGGGAGGATGGCTGGGGTCCACAGCCAACCCCTGGGCTGGATGCATGCAGAGGACAGTCCCCTTTTGGTGATCCCAGGTCTTATGGGGGGGCGAGGGAGGGAGAAGGCCTTGCACAAGGCCAGCAGGTGAGGGGGCAGCCGGCTCAGCCTGAGGCCCAGCTCCCTGATTCTGCCATGGCAAGCAGAGCCTGGCCCTTTGAGCCTGATCCCTCTGCTGGTTTCACCATTTAGGTGCCTGTTTTGTGCCTCAAGCTGGCCTTCACCTGCTACCCCCCCCCCAACCGGGCCTCCTGCCGCTTCCACGTCTTTCTTTCCTGACACTCTGCCAGGGAGCTGTTTTTCCACAGCCACTCAGTATCGGCGGACCTGCTCTGTCTTGCAGAATGAAGGGGTCACTGAGTGTCACGTACCAGATATGCCCTGGTTCTGGATGCTCTGGAACTCAGCATAGAAGACAGCCTTCTCCAGCATCCCCAGCAGGATGACTCCGCCAATCCAGAACTGGATGCGCAGGATATCTCTCCAATAGCAGGCCAGGAGGACAAGCCACAGAACGCCATAGAGTACGTACACAATGCACATCACCATATAGAACTGCCGGGGGTGGGGGTGGAGGGAGGGAGAGGCAGAGGAAAGAAGAGAGAGGCAGAGATATGGGTTATATGGTGCATTTATCATGATGAGGCTGAATTCTTCCTGGAGAAGCATCTAATTCCCTTTTAAAGGAGCTGCAGGAATGCCAGTATCAAGCACAGAGACACCTGTCCTGAGTGTGGGAAGCTTACTGTATGTTTTGGACCACCAGACCTAGAAATCCCCCAAGAAGGAAGGCAATCCCTTCCTAGCTGTGGGTTGTGCAGCCTGGAGGTGGAAACACCCCTGGAGCAAAAGAGGGTCTCCCTCGGTCTCCCCTCCCTGCCCCCAAAATGCACAGCGTCAAGCTCTGAGGAAACAGCGGCCGGCGGGTCAAGCAAGGCTGGTCCCAGGGCTTCCCACCATGACCTCAAGCTGTTCAAAGGGAACGGGTGGCAAGTTGGCCGACCGGCTCAGAGCTTCTTCCTCAGAACAACTCATGCCACCCCGTGCCAAATCAGGACTGTTGCCCACAAACAGCCGACAGGGCTACGGGAGGCCCCTCTGCTCGCCTGCCCTTCCAAAGGGGCAATGCCAGCAGGAAGCAAGGCCCCCAAGAAAGGCAGAGGGAGGGAGGGAGGGAGGGAGCTGTCGGGTGGCAAAGCCTTTGCAGGAGCAACAAACAGCCACCCCCCGCCCCTAAGGCCCGACCACAGGGGGCCACCAGACCCCGCAGGCACAGCATCCTGGAATTCAGTATGTTTATTGTATGATTAACTGGCTTAATCATTTTCCAGTTATCTTTCCACATTTTTGTCCATTCATCAATATCAATATTATATCCAAAGTTTTGTGCCCATTTTACCATCACCTCCTTCACCGTCTTATCCTCTAAATCAGGGGTGCACATTCCCAGGTCTGCGGCCCAGTGCCAGTCCATGGGCTTCCTTGGACTGGGCCATGGACACAGACCTCTGTTCCCCCCGCATGCACGCATGGTGGGCATGTCACGCTTACAAACTATGCTCTCATAGGATAAGCCCACGAGGTCCCATGGGACTCCTGCAGGAGGGCAGCCCCACTGAAGCCGGCCGTCATCTTGAGATAAGACATTTTTATTCTCCCCACCCAGAATACCTTTTTTGTATTTCCCTTCTTGTGCTTAAACAAGCATTACACACACACACACACACACACACACACACAGAGAGAGAGAGAGAGAGAGAGAGAGAGAGAGAACAAACTTCTCAACGGTTTTTTAACTGCTGCTGGTGGCCATGGTGTAGCAGAAAGTAATCTCCTGATGTCATTATGAGTTCCTTATTCAATCTGTTTATGCTGCAACCCTTTCCTGATCCTCAGGCTTATATTTTATGACTAGGGTGCTAGTCCACAAGGAAGAGACCCGAAGGGAAGCCTGCAAATACTGCCGGGAAGGCCGCTTATCCCGTGTGGCCCTTCAGCCCCAGGACTGGCCCCAGGTCCCCAGGAGCCCTCTCAATGGGTCTGCTGTGGAACGTCGGACCGGCCGGCTCCACTCACTCTGCAGCTCCCAGTTGGCCGACGGGCTCTTGATCCCGAGGATGAAGACGTACGGCCCATCGTCCCAGGTGGCAGCCACGGCGGAAGGCTAAAACAACAACCCAACACGGGCCAGGTCAGGCGAGGAGGAGCTCCATCCATCGCCAGGCTAGAGAAGGAAAGACCGAGAGCGGAACCGAGAGCCCCTTTCAGACACTCGGCGGAGGGTCAGGCCGAGGGCCGAGCAAGGCCACTGGCTCAGGCCGCTGGACCGCAGTTCCAACTGTCCGGCCACCCACCTCTCGCCTGTGAGGTGCCAGAGTGGTTTTCTTCTTGGCCTCTTTGCTGGCTTTCTTGCCGGCCACAGGAGAGGGCTGCCCTGCCTGGCCTTCCTTGGGTTTCTCGACGTGGGCCTCCTCGGGCTTTTCCCCGGCTTTGGCTGCCGGGCTGTGTTCCGTCTCCTTTCCCTTCTCACTCCCTGGAAGCTGGGAGGCCTCCGTCTTCTTCACCTGTGGATGGAAGGTGGACACCGTCAGTGGGGTGGCAGTGGGGGTGGCAAAGGAGGATGGGTGATGCTGCCCCCCCTCTACCCGGCCGTGGACGAAAGGAAAGACAAGTGTGGGAACCAGATGCTGCCGATGCTGCTTATGGAGACCCTCAAGACACAAACAGGCCAAGCGTTGCGGGGGGCGGGGGGCCGCACAGTGAACCGCAGAACCCACCCACCCCGATGCCTACCTTGCCACCTTCTGGCAGGAGCAACGAGCCAAGACTCTTAACGACCAGCTTTCCAACTAACTCAGAGAGGTTCCCTGCTTACTCACCACAGCCCTGAGGAGCAGCAGAGTGAGCCAGACCCGCCCCCAGGGGCCCCTATCCTGCCTCCCCATTCCCAGTGCTTCGACTGACCAGATTGGCGGCTGTCAGCTGATCTTGTAAAGGCCGCAGCCTCCGAGGCTCGGGCAGCTCCGAAAAGTGCAGCTGAAACAGAAGGGAACGGAGAGGGGTGGATGGGTGGTTCAAGTCAGGTGTGCCAGTCGCCCCTCCCTCACCACGCCTTCCTCCCACCCCACCCCCAACCTGACCCCCTCGTGGTTCTGATCCAGTAGCCACCAATCGGCTGAAGGTGGTGGCCAGAGTGGCCAAAGTGAGCAGCATGGAACATCCCCCTCCCCCTCCCCCGCTCCTGGGGCCAGTGGGGGTCATAGGCAGGAACCATCTGGAGAGCCCCCCCCCCATGCCCTGCTCCCGACTGAAAGGGCTACTCCCTGACCAAAAGCCGCCTTCCTTCCCCTTGGTCAAAAAGAAGCCCGGCTTTCTCCTTGGACTCCAGAGCCCTCCTTTAACTTCTGCCCAGGCTCTTTTTGAGGGATCGAGCTGCAAATAAAGTGGGAATTGCCCCCTGAGGGGCACCCTTCCGGACACACACCTCCCTTCCCTGCACAAGGCAGCCGCAGGACACCCTCCACCCCCATCCCACCCCCATCCCGTTGCCTCTCAAGGTCCCTTCCTCCCAAAACCTTGGAGGAAAAACCACAAGGAAAGGGATGGGCGAGCGGTCGCTACTTCTGGGATGGGGAGGGGGAGGGGGTGTAGCTTGACCGAAGAGCCTAGCAGGCAGATTCCCCCACCCCCCCCTCCGCACCCAATCCCAGTTGGGTCTGGGATCTCCTCTCCTGGTGGGTCCAGGAAAAGAATCCTGGCTCAAATCCAGAAAGGCCGTCACTGCTAGGCAAGGTTAGGAACCCAGGGCCAGAGGGACCGAGGGGGTAACCCGATGTAAGGCCACCAGACCCCGGAAGCCGGATCAGCTCCCTGTCTGAAAGGCGTGTCGCTCCCAGAATCCTCCAGCTAGCAGGGAGATCCCAGGAACTGGAGTCCAAAAACAAGAGAGAACTTTTCGGAGCACAGGGGAAACGTGAGCTCCCCTCCCTGCTCGTGACAGTCTGACACTCAGTCGTCTTTACTTCGGATCTCCCACCTCATGGAGCGAGCCACAGCTGATCTGGCCACTGTACCAAACATACTGGCCATCCCCTGTGGTGCTGGTGGCATCCTCGTGGTTCCTGAGGTAAGACAGCGCTTCGTTTTCCTGCAGTGCAGAAAAGAGAAAGAGGGAGAGAACTGGTTTCCACACTTCCCACGAGTAAGCCCGGCAGTCTTTGGGGCTTTGCCTAGCAGGCATGGCCCTCCGTCCCTCCCTGCCAGCCACGTCCCAGAGGCCCTTGGGAGTTCCACGATTTTGGGAGGAACCGGCTTACGTGGACTCCGGATGGGAAAGTCCCGAGCATGCCACGGCCCTGCAGCCTCAGCCGTGAACGGAGCTGCCTTAGAAAACATGCCACTGACACGCAGGGGGACACCTCGCATTTAAAGAGGCATCGTTGACCAAGTTGCTTTGGAAATGCAACTCCGCTACTCCCTCACTCCAAGAGAGAAAGGGCAGCTTGTTACAGGAGACGGGGTTATTTCCACTGTTTCTTGCCATCCCGGGGATATATTTCCCTACAAGTCAACTGCGGAGGAGCTGCTCACGTCAATGTGGATCTCGTTGTGGCAACGGGAACTGCGCAGATACCAGGTGACGTTGAGGAGCACCTCCAAGCTGTTGCATCGCTCGTGAAGGACTGCAAGGAAAGCACCGTCAGGGGTGGGAACACCAGCGAGTGGCCGAAAGGGGTGCCAGCGTGCCTGAAACATGGCCTTAGGCAACCTCGGCCCCAGCATCCAATGGGTCCTCCCCCCCCCCCCCAAGCTTGGTGGCCGTCTGACACTTACACTTGAGGATAATCCAAGTCCCCTTGAACATCGTCTTGGAGAAGACAAACAGGTTCTCTGTCCGGTTCTGGGGGGGAAGAGGAGAAACGGGATACAGTGAAGGGCTCGTGGTGGTGGTGGTGGTGGGGCTACTTAGCCTCACAAAACATAGCTGGAAAAATTTCCCTTCTCCCTCTGACTCGTATGGGAGACGACCAACACAAACATCCCGCAGCTGCTGGGGGAGGAGGCCTTCCGTGGAAAATTCCAACCTCAGTACAATTCCTGTGGAGAAGGAGAGGCTGGGAGGAGAGGAAGCCCCAGTGCTTTACCTGTCAGGCAGCAGGCTCAGGGCACATGCCAAGAAGTTCTGGGTTCAAAATCACTGCTGAACAGAAACTCACTGGGTGGAAAGAACCACCATCACAGCCAACCCGACAGGACACTATCCTGCCCAAGGTGGGGACGGGGGTGCGCACACGTGCTGGTGCCCCTGCTTTAAAAAAGATCCTGGGATGTGTGGTCAGCCAAGGAGTCTGGCACTTGCCGTTTCGGGGGGGGGCTCCCTCCCTCTGCTGGACAGGTGGCTGAAAAAGGGCGTTTTTCTCTCCCAGCAGAGAAAGTGGTTTGGTGCCGTGTGGCGGTCCAGGGGCGACTCTTCTAGCCGCCGGACTCTTCCCAGGGCTGCACAAGTCCCTCCCGACCCAACGAGAAGGGTCTGGGAAGAGGTCCGAGTGCGCCTTTGGCCTCAAAAGGTCCACCCTTTTCTCTTTTTGGTGCCCTTTCTTATAAAGGAGAAAAGCACTCCCCCCAAAGGGCTCACACTTCCTGTTGCAGGGGCACAGCAGGTGGAGGGGAGGAGGAGGAATCTTTGTTTGGAAATTTTGTTTTGATGGAGGGGGGCAGCTTTAAAAAGGGTTGGAGGGCCAACATGATCTCCACCTGGCTAGACGTTCTACATTTGCCTGCTCTGCTTCCGTCTAGAAAGGAGACGGGAACGTTGGGGGAGAACCAGATCCCTGACCCTTTGCCGCGCAGCCCCTCCACCTACGGGCAGACCCAACACCATGGGTGACGACCAAACCCTCGTGAAAAAATTCCTCGGCTAGGACATGAAGGCCACCGTGGTGAAAATGGAACTCTACACTCGCCCTGGATGGAGAGACATGCCAAGCACCTGATCCCCCACCTCCGTGGCCCTTAAGGGAAAGCAAGTGGCCGACTCAAGGCGGGACGGACGGACGCCCAGGCAGCCAACTCCACCTCTTCCCTAGGGTGGTGGTGGTGGTGGGGGTTCCCCTGCCCACCCAGAGGCCCCCTCCCCGCCACATTGACTCTTGGCGTCTTCCTGCATGTCAGCCAAGGTCAAAGGAAAGCAGGGCCAGGACAGTGCCTCCTGCCCTGAGGAGGAGAGGAAAGAGGATGCAAACACCACACGAGGGAGGGAGGGATGGCCTGCCTGAGGGAAAGCAGGGAAGACAAAGATTTCTTGCTCTTCCTGCCTGCTGCCTTTCCAAGACAACAGATGCAGAACCGCCTCCGGAGGAAAACCTCAGGCAATGGGCTTTCCAAGCCCCACCCTGAGGAGGGGTTGTTAAGGGATGGCGGACCCAGTACCATTTACTTTTGTCTTCCTCTGACACACTTCCAACCTGCCTACTTTTTTTTTAACATAGTGGTTGCTTCTACAGTTTAACGAGAGTTGCAACACTACAGCCTGTTTTACTTTTTAGCTGTAATGGTTTTTATCCACATCATAACCTGCCTTGTCACAAAAAGGGACAGATTAAAATGAAAGGAAGGGAGGAAGAATTCTGCAGCTCACATCTTGTGTGTGTGTGTGTTTTTGGGGGGGGAGGGCTTCCAAAGGGAGAGGCCTGCCAGTTTCCTCCCGTTGACATCAGGGCTGAAGAAACAGCTCTTTGTTTTTATTTAAAAACAAAATTTTAAATAAAAACCTTCCGTGGTCCCCAGAGGTGGTTCTTGGGCTACAACTCCCAGAAATCCTGGCCGGCACGGCTGGCGGTGAAGGCTCCTGGGAATTGTAGACCAAGAACATCTGGGATACCCAAGGTGGGGAAGTGTGCCCCCCCTTGGGCAGCCCAGATGTTCTTGAACTTCCCCTCTTCTTTTCCCCGCCCCTCCCAGAAAGAACTCCTGCCCTTCTTCTGTGGGCCATTCGCAAGTGCTTGTGACCAGCTTTCTTTACTGTGCCTGCTACAATCCAGGACACTCTTGTGCCAGGAGGACATCAGAACAGCCCCTCAGCCAGAACAGGCCCAAGGTCCTCTTGCCGAGGGTTTCATCCAGCAAGATGCCAGATCCGTCTCATCCAGAAAACAGACTGTGGGATGCCTAGGAGGAGGCACGAATAAGCCCAACCCTCTCCCCAAAATTTCCGAAAACTCTGCTGCTAGAAAACAACCAAACCTCACCTGACATTTTAAAGACCAGAGAATTTCTTACACCATCAGCTTCTCTGGATGACAGTACCACCAAACCCACAGATTGTTGCCCATAATTTTGCGAGGTTCAGGAGCACACCTCATGTCCAACTCTGTCCTCCGCCTAGAAAGTGGCGGTGGCGGTGGTGAATGGACAGAGAGGGGAAAAGGCCAACAAGCGCTGCAGTCCAGCTGCCTTCTGGAGGGCGACTGCCCTTTGCCACCACTCCCTGCGGTCAGTCAGAGAACCCCTTCCCAGCACATCTGCCACGGCTCTTCGTTCGGGTGGCGATGCCCGAGATGATGGTTGGGCCCAGGACTGGCCTGGAGTGCCCTCGGCTACCAACCTAGGGCCCGACCGCCCAGACCACCGGAGAGAAGCCAGATGCCTGGATGTTCTGTCATCAACCTCCTGTCAACCACCCAAGGGTGAGGACAGTTCATGGGTGGGGTGTCTGCGTGTGGGGATGCCATCCTTGCTCCACGCCTCCTCTGCAGGGTGGGCGTTTGGGATGCTGAAGGGGACAAAGGAGTGAGGATCCCCCAGACTGTGGGGCCTCTCCTCACCCCCCCTGCAAAACAAACCTCCTCCTATGTGCACAACCACCCCGTCGGGGCCACTTTCTTCTGCCTCCAGATGGCACCAATTTCCTGGGGGTCCCTGTATTAAGGGACTGTGGGGGTGCTTCAGGCCCCTCACCCACCTGAAGGCACACGTGTGCAAAAGGGGGGGGCAAACCTCCTGGACGCCTGGCCCGCCAGGCGGGGACTTCGGGGAAGCCCGTTCGAGTCCCGGCCCGACCCGACCCGCTGAGCCTGGGCTTCGCTCCCGCTTCCTCTGCTTGGCCCACCTGCCAAGGCTGTTGTGAGGCTCGAGAAGGAACGCCACGTCC